CAAGATCTAGATCTAGATTTATTTAGTTTACTAGATCTATATGGAGGATTCATATTCCAATTCTAGAATCTATTGTGTTATTTCATCAATCCGTTGCATCAAACCCTATTATTATAGATCTAGCAATATGTAGATGTAGGCCATTATGCTCATTGTAAGCCTTGTTTGATTGGAGTGTGGTTTTTTAATTTTAAAAATGTATTTCATTTTGGATTTTTGCTGGCCTTTTCACATGAGGCTCGTTGCAGGTTCTTTGTTGGAGTAGGCCTAGGGGTAGGGTTAGGTCTCTTGTTTGTTGGGGTGGTCGCTCGTTACTCTGAAGTCCTTCCTTATGACACCCACAAAATTTTCAGACAATCTGGTTGAGGCTCACATGCAGGTCTAAAGTTCAAAATTTGTGTTAATTTACCTTGATTTGTTTTTATTTTATCACTACAATGCATGTAAACCACTCTGTTTGAATCTCAAATGATTGTCTTACCTAATTGGTCATATTATTTACTGTTTTCTATCGTACCCTATTGTCAAAAGTCATATATTCATTCATCTTAATCCAATCAATAAGAGCTAGATCATCTAGTCATGAAGGCATTTAAAAGTTAGATGCAATCGTGATCATTATTTGATTTAAAACTGATTTTTAGTGATTTTGTTTTAGTGTGATTTTACTGTGATCTACTTAATTTTCATTCATGATTTTAAAATTTCCGATAACTCTATACTTTTGTAGAGAGCAAAAAGAAGTATTATAATGGTTATTTATATAAACGTTGTGATGCACGATCCAGTATTACCAACTTTAATCAACAAAATGATCACCTATAATTTTTGCCTTGGTGCCCTGGCAAATTGCCTCGGTGCCCGCCTCTGATTTTTAGGCCCCACCAAGGCAATTTTTGCCTGCCCTCCTGAACACCTAATTCAAGCCCTGTGGGAACTAGGCTACCGAAAAAAAGCCGGGCACTCTTCGGGAGAAGTGGTCCTGACCGAACTCCATAGCCATAAGAATTTAGACTTATAGGCTAGGGCCTGGGCCTGCACATCATCGGGAGTCAAAAAAGGAAGTCGAGAACCTCCTGTCTAAGTGGGTCAATTTGATCTAGATCTACCGACTTAGCATATTTTAATTGTTTTGAATGAGACATATGCCTTTGTTGCGAACCAACGCATACGGTTCTAGAAGTAGGCCACAAACTCAACCTGGCTGACGTGCACACACTTGAGCTGTGGGAATACGGGACCCGGTCATCATGCGGATAATGCTCTGCGTGCTTTCTCTGAGCCAGGGCAGGACACACAGGACCGTATGGAAAGTGTGGTGCCGAAATAGGTTTATTGTGGAACCTAAACCTGGCTCCCGCAGGACCAGGGTTAATAGCTTGCTGTGCCATCATAACTGTGAAGCTTAGTTGCTAGTGTGGCGATTATTTTAATCGCCTTGAAGTCCACAGGGTAATCGTTGCATTTGTGAACTAAAATGTAGGCATAGAATCTGGTCCTAATGGTTTCTTTCACCTTTAGACTTTGGTTTTTGGTTGGGGGGGGGGGGGGGTTGTGTTAGGAAAAAATGTGCACTGAAAAGTTTATGAACATTTCAAGCAACTTCGAAATTAATTTTTTTTTAGCGTTATCATTTTATTTGTACAGTGGTGTATTTGAGAAAATTTTGTGTCTTGTTTCTCAGGTCCTGTCTTTAAATTGCTTGAGAGCTTTGGCAATCCCTGACACACAAAGATGGTCAAGGAAGACAGAACCACCTGGAAGTCCAACTACTTCCTTAAAATCACTGTGAGTATTTGTCTTCATTTTATCTACATTTTCATTCTGTCTAAGGTAGGAGAATAAAGACCCCTTTCTCTCACTCTCCCCCGCGTCTCTCTGACACGCAAACGAACGGTCAGCAGTGAGCAGTGCCTACAGTGCTCACGAACTCAACATTTGCTTAGGGGTCCATGAATAGTGCTGAGTGTGGGTCGCTGAAATGTCCCAACAGACGTGTAGAAAGAAGACTTAATGGTATTTATTTTGTTGTTTAAATGTTCCTTTGGGGGGAGGGGGGGGGGGTCCTAGAATAGGACAGTCACAGAGACTGGACAAAAATAAAGTTTTTGTTAAATTTAGTGGCCTGTGTGTGGAAAGTCCCAGCTTCCATACCCAAATTCTTTTGGAATTGCTTTCAGAATGCCTGGTCGACATGACATATAGTAAGCAATTGAAATCAATGGCTTAGCTAGTTTCAAGTATTACTATTTCATCTCTACAAAAATGCCAGGTACTGACGAATCTCCTGGTCATACTGTGTAAGGGTCGCTGGTTTGTTTGCTGTTGTTGTCTTTTTAAAAATTATTTTTTAGTCCTTTGTCTCTTTTGCAGTTTCTCTGTGATGTCTTTTTCAGGAAGGACTTCCGTAACAAGCGGCCTCCTCAACAAATACAATAAAGGACAGACGTATTCCTTACACTAATCCTAATCCAAACCCTCTATACCAGTCTCTCTTTACGGAAGTCCTCCCCTTTTTCAGTCTCTCTTTTAATCCAATTTTAATATGTCTCTTTTTCAGTCTCTCTTTGATGAATACCCTAAGGCATTCATTGTCAATGCTGACAATGTGGGTTCAAAGCAGATGCAGCAAGTTCGCCAAGCCTTGCGTGGAAAGGCTGGTATGTTTTTTTTGGGGGG